ATTTGTCGCAGAATATTCGCGAAGTTACGTTAGCACAACTAAAAAACGCTTTTCAAAAAAACGTACGTGCAGATGTATGTACGTGTGCTATTTCTCACAAAGTCTGCTTAAAACCCTGTACAAGTCGCAGAGTCTTCAAGAAAGAAAAACTGTACGTGCTTATTTGCGATGTGGCTTGATAAACTGTTTTTCCATACGGCAAACTTCCAGTCTTCTATAAGCAGTAGAATTCCAACTAACGGCTTGTCTGATTTAACGGCCACTTACTTCCTTACGGCAACGCACACACACGCAAACGGCAACAGAGACAAAAGCAATTTGAAAACTTTTTGTGGATGACAAAGACAATTTTTAGTTTTAGAAATACAATGGAATATGAATTATTTATTCCAATTAAAACTTGCGTGTATGATTTTACAAATTATGGCCAATTTGCGTTGGAAAAATAGCCTTGATGACGACAAAAACGAGCCTCTGACGATGAAGATGCCGATGGCGACTTCTTTGATGGACGGTGATGGTGAACTCAACGAGACTGCATACGGTTGATGGACGAGGACTAAATAAATATGATGGACGATGACGATGAAAATGTCCGCACAGTTGATAGACGATGACAATAACCACGAAAATATGCACATTTAATGGACGATGACGATAAAAGTACGTACACTTGATGGCCAATGACGATGACACCGAAAAACGAAGACTTTGACCACTTTTGGCTCAGTTATGTTTGCAGGAGTCTTAACTTTTTACGTTTCAAATTGGTGCCTTTGCACCCGCTGCTTTCTCGGCGAAAATTTGGAATGATGTGAAAAACAGTGAACGGGATCTTATTTGTATGTGCCGGTTTTTGATCTCCTTCAATCCTTCGTCAAATATCAGACCACCGACAGGGTTGCACTTTGAGATCAGTGTTTTGCAACGACAATATGCTTTTGGTAACGCCTAAATCGAACAGTTGCCATCATACAATTACTAGGTACCCGATGTCTATAGTTACAAGTCTGGCCTTTAATTAGGTAAAAGCCACGTAGCCACGTATAAGATATAATATATGCCTAACGCTATCTCTAGTTTTTTCAGCATGTACAACTCAGGATTGCTTGTAACTTATACTGCCAAGACCCCAATACTAGGGCTTGGAGCCATCAAAAGCTTGCATCTATACATAGTATAAAGGAAAGTCGAGATTCTTTGTACGCGGTAATCTCGAAAACTACTGAACGGATTTTGGCGAGATTTTCTCCAATATACTTTGCATCGATGGGAGAGTGACATTTTTCATTTAGAATTTTGATAGGGTTGCCACCTGTCTAGAAAAATATTAGACCGCACCGTTCGCTGGATTACAAAAGTTGAGGTGTCAAATGAAAGGGATGGGCCACTAGAAAAGCACAAATGTTTTATTTTTTTAATAGGGTGCCACGTGTTGATAAAATTACTATATACAATCATAATAAGCGTAGGCATCAGTTCTGCACCGTCGCTGTCAAACGTAAAAACTTGGCTTCTAGATGTGCAATAATGGATTATTTTTCTGGGTAGGGTTGCCCTCTAATAAAAAGTAAAAAGATTTTCGCCGTTCGTTGGGTTCCAAAATCAGATATAAAATGAAGGGGCATGGCCTGCGCATGTACAAAAACTTTATTTTTTTTTTAGTAGGGTTGCCACCTATTTAAAAATTAGTATCTTCTATGCATAGTTAAAAAGAAAGTCGGGATTCCCTGAACACGCTAATCTCAAAAGCTACGGATTTAGACGAGATTTTTGAGTATAGTCTGTAACGATAGGAATATTATCTTTATTACTTTACATACCTATAAGGTTGCCACCTGTCTAAAATATGTTTAGATGTTCAGTAATGTATTACTTTTTGAGTAGGGCTGCCACTTTTTAAAAATTATCAGATCTTCACCGATTGTTGGACTAAAAGCTGAGGTACCAAGTAAAAGGATATGGTCTCTGCATGTGAAATATTTTTTTTTTATTTTTGTTTAAGTGGGGTTGCCACTTATTTAAAAATGATGTATGTATAATATGCGGCCGCTGTGGTGTAGTGGTAAGCACCTTCCACTCCGCACGCCTGACTTCAAGCCCTGGTCAAAGCAACATCGCAAAAAAATGTAGAAAAAAGGGTTTTTCGTAACAGCGGTCGCCCCTTGGCAGGCAATGGCAAACCTCCGAGTGTATTCCTGCCATGAAAAACAGCTTCTCATAAAAATACAATCGCCGTTCGGAGTCGGCGTAAAACTGTAGGTCCCTCCCCTTTCTGTCACAAGATCAAGGCGCACACCACAAATCGAAGGAGAAGCTCGGCCAAACACTAACATATGAGTAAGCGACAATCTGTTATATTAATACGCGAGG